TCCATCTTATTGGGACTCAAATAATAGAATTTCATGATTTTTTTCTAAACTTGACTCTTATATTTGATTTTAATGTTTGTATCCCCCAGGATATGTCCCCTTTGGGGGTATAAATTCACTAAAAACAGACCACTTGTTTATCAATGCTTGTAACAACATGGTTGTAATTCCTGAACACTTTGGAGTACAGGCCTATAACGTTGGTCTCTTTTTAAAGAAGACACATAGCAGATTATTGCTGAAGTGAAAGCATTTAAAAAAAAGAAAGTATAAAAAAGTTATAAAAGTTTAAGTTTACAATAAAGATAATGTAGTATACAACTTTTTTTTATTTTATATAAAATAAATATTTTATAAAATATGTTGCACTCTAAAATTGCTATAAAATCAAAGCCATATGTCTAACCAAGTTATGTTCCAAATTTGAAGTTGATATCACAAAAATAGTGGACAATAAAGATAATGTAGTATACAACTTTTTTTTATTTTATATAAAATAAATATTTTATAAAATATGTTGCACTCTAAAATTGCTATAAAATCAAAGCCATATGTCTAACCGATTTATGTTCCAAATTTGAAGTTGATATCACAAAAATTGTGGTTCCTGTGAGATTTTCTTTGGGCACTATACCAAAAATAACCACTGGGTTACACCCAAACCCTATTTAATTTTTCTAATGCAGTTTTCTGTCACAAATCAATAATTTTCTGTCACAATATGACTTCTATTACAAAACAGTCACCAAATATGGAATCATGACTGTTAGACCTTTCCAACGATACGTTTTGTCAAGATTACAAAAAGGTTTGATTTTCTAAAACACAAGCCACACAGTCACACAGTCTATATGTACACTGTAAAAAAAATGTACGGTAAAAAACCGGCAGCTGTGATTGCCAGAATTTTACCGTAAAAAATACGGTAGCAACATTTTAGGTTTTACGGTTTTAGCTTAAATTTACAGTTAAATACCGTAATTTCATTAACTGATATAATGTTAATATACCAACCTATTGAAGTACTGAAATAAAATATAAGCATTTAATTTATAAAATTTCAATGTAAACCTAATAAGCTAATGCTGAACAGCAGCTTTTTTAACCAGGTAAGTCTCCTCCAGCAGGTGTATGCTGTATATGTGAACTAGATCAACTTTTATCGCAGGGTGAGTGGATTTCCCACGACAGGCGGCCATGCAGTTTTAAATGCTGCCCGTGAGCTAAACAAAGAATGGAGAAACAAAGTCACCTCATCTAAATATTCACAACAAACACCCTTTCAACGTGAAACCAAGAAATGAGACCTACACTATCACTGCTTCTCTCCACAGCTTCTCAAATGTTTGTATCTCCCAGGATACATCGCCCCTTTTAGGGTTAAAATAATAAAAATAAAATCTAAAAAATCTAATAAAAATCTGTAATCAAACCATAATATTAATATGTGTGTAAATGTATGTGTCTGTGTATTAATAGTTTTAATAATTATTATAACAATATTAATAATATAATATTAAATAAAATACGAAAAGTACTTTAAAATCTGTACATGAATACTTTTTAATATTATTGTTATGATCATTAAAACATGTCTGTGTATGTGTGTTTTAATAATAATATTAATACTATTAATAATAAAATATTAAGATTATTATAATAATTTAAATTAGAATAATTACATTTTTTGATTATTTATTATTATTGTTGTTTTTATCTTTTTAGGAAAGTCTTCGAAACTACATCTGTCAAATCAGCTCTTGTGTAACAAATTGATTCTGGTATTTTTGTGCAACAAACATTCTGGATAATCTAGTATATCTATATGTTAACAGTCAACATTTAGTGTTCATAAATCATAATGACCCTAAAGCAACCCCATTATTAAGACCAGCTAGTCAGCTAGTCGTTCAGGTAACTCACCTGTCTTGTTGATGAGCCTGTTTACATTCTCTCTGTCTTTTTTCTTGTGTGCGTTGGTTGTGTATGAACAGACATTATCGCTGCCGTCCCTTTTCTCATGTGAATGTTCTCAGAAACATCTGATTTCATTTTGTGACCTGGTTTTTGTTTCACTGATTGAAGGACGTCATTGACACACACACACATGTTCCACACGTGTTCCCATGATCCGCTGATTCCTGTGCCGTGACATCACTGCACTGGTGCTCTCTCTCTGCAGGCGCTGTGCATTAACGTTCAGTCGAGCGATGTGTGCGAGACGCTGGCGCTGGTGTTCTGTGGCGCTGATGTGAGCTGCGACACCGGCGACCCCGAGCTGCCCTCCCCGATCGCTCTGGCCCAACACCACGGACAGAACCTGCAGCTGGAGCTCCTCATGCAGAACCGCAACACAGGTGTGTGCCTCGGAGAACGTTGCTATAACTACGTCAATATACTACGCTTACTGACGTTTGATCTTTTGACCTACAGAACTCCCGAGGTCAGAGGTGAAGGTTGCCATAGATAGGGTGCACTACATGGCCCCGCCCTCAGTCACACATAATGGATTTCTGTTTAAGACCGCCTCCATGGCTCGACCAATCACAGAGAAGAAGGGAAAAGAAGGTGAGCCAATAATTTTTCTGAAATGTTATGTGCAAAATGGTTTCAGAATAATTTAATCTGATTTGAGTCTGTCCGTCTGTGTCTGATAGAGTTCAGTCGGCGCTGGTGTGTGCTGAATGACGGGAATTTTAGCTACTATGAAAGTGACAAAAACGCTACACCGAACGGAGGATTGAAGATGAAGGAGATCGTCTGTCTGGCTGTCAGCCCTCCTGAGACTCATGGGTAATCTGGCCCACAGCATGTGTTTAAGGACTGTCACCTTTCTGACAGCCTGATAATATAAACGTCTCTTTCTTTAGGTACGATCACACGTTTGAGCTGTACTCGGACGCCGAGCGCTTGTATCTGTTCGGCACTGATAATCCAGAGACCATGCACGAGTGGGTCAAATCCATCGCAAAGGTGACGTCACACCTGTTCTGAACCGCTTGACAGGTTTTGTCTGGTTTGGACTGTGTCTCATTTTCATGTCGTCTGTCTGTGTTACAGTCGTTCATTCCCGCGGCTGCGGAGGATCTGTTACTGAAGGACTTCGAGCGCATCGGCCGGCTGCGTTATAAAGATAGACTGAACCGGGAGATGTCGAGACTGGGCTGGTTCTGTTTGGTGGGATCCAACCTGCACATCCGGCTGGAGGAGCACACCGCAGACGAGACCATCGACCTGCAGAAGCTGCTGGAGCTCTGTGAGTCACAAAATGCCACCAAAATCAACAAATTGATTGACAAATTGACAAAAATGCAACCGAAATAGAAAAAACGGCATCAAAATCAGCAAAAATTTCACCAAAATCAACCATGACACCAAAGCCAACAAAAATGCCACCAAAATCAGCAAAAATGTTACCAAAATCAACATATATAATACCAAAACAACAAAAATGACATCAAAATCAGCAAAAATAGCACCAAAACAACAAAATGACACGAAAAATACAACCAAAATCACCACCAAAACCAACAAAAATAGCATGAAAATCAGCAAAAATACCACCAAAACCATCAAAATGACACCAAAAATGCAACCAAAATAAAAAATGCAAAAAAAATAAATAAATACAACCAAAATCACCAAAAATACTACCAAAATCACCAACAAAAATAGCATGAAAATCAGCAAAAATACCACCAAAACCATCAAAATGACACCAAAAATGCAACCAAAATAAAAAATGCAAAAAAAATAAATAAATACAACCAAAATCACCAAAAATACTACCAAAATCACCAACAAAAATAGCATGAAAATCAGCAAAAATACCACCAAAACCATCAAAATGACACCAAAAATGCAACCAAAATAAAAAATGCAAAAAAAATAAATAAATACAACCAAAATCACCAAAAATACTACCAAAATCACCAACAAAAATAGCATGAAAATCAGCAAAAATACCACCAAAACCATCAAAATGACACCAAAAATGCAACCAAAATAAAAAATGCAAAAAAAATAAATAAATACCGCTTGACGGGTTTTATCGGGTTTGAACAGCGTCTCATTTTCACAACACCTCTCTGTGTTACAGTCGTTCATTCCTGCGGGTGCGGAGCATCTGTTACTGAAGGACTTCGAGCGCATCGGCCGGCTGCGTTATAAAGACAGACTGAACCGGGAGATGTCGAGACTGGGCTGGTTCTGTTTGGTGGGATCCAACCTGCACATCCGGCTGGAGGAGCACACCGCAGACGAGACCATCGACCTGCAGAAGCTGTTGGAGCTCTGTGAGTCACAAAATGCCACCAAAATCAACAAATTGATTGACAAATTGACAAAAATGCAACCGAAATAGAAAAAACGGCATCAAAATCAGCAAAAATTTCACCAAAATCAACCATGACACCAAAGCCAACAAAAATGCCACCAAAATCAGCAAAAATGTTACCAAAATCAACATATATAATACCAAAACAACAAAAATGACATCAAAATCAGCAAAAATAGCACCAAAACAACAAAATGACACGAAAAATACAACCAAAATCACCACCAAAACCAACAAAAATAGCATGAAAATCAGCAAAAAATATCACCAAAACAACAAAATAACACCAAAATCATCAAAAATTACACCAAAAAAAAAGCAGCCAAAATCAGCTAAAATGCTACCAAAACCAACAAAAATGGCACAAAAATCATCAAAAATATCACCAAAATGAGCAAAAATGCCCCTGCAGAATTAAATAAATTACGACGGTCACCGTTAAAGTGAAATGTGAAAATGAATGAAACATGTTGATTGTGGCATTTAGGGTTGCAAAGGGGTGGAGAATTTCCAGAAAATTTCTCTAAACTTTTCAAAAATGTCCAAAAACTCCAGGAAATTTTCTAACTTATTGCAACCCTAGTGGCATTACGTTTAGATCTGCTCACATTACACCAAAGATTCCTGTTTAGCTGTTGTTTTTTGCAGTGTTGAGCATCATAACCAATCACACGTTTCTGTTGAGTGCATGAATGTAGTGGCCAGTCAGAGCTGTATAAATTAGTCACTGGTGATTAAGAATTATTTGTCATAAAAAGACAACACTGATGCCATTCAATAAGGTATTTAATAAAAATTGCCTTTATGAATGTAAAAATGCTCCTGGAAATCAATTACAGCTGCCAGATATTGACCTTTAATGGAAAAGTTCATTATTGACCCTGATGTGAACTGAGCGTGTGTGTGTGTGTGCGCAGCGATCCAGCCGGAGAATGAGGTTCTGGTTCTGGTGGAGCGAGGCAGGTGAGCAGGTCGAGGTTAACCCGGTTAAGTCTCATATGTGTGTGACGGCGGGCGGAAGCTGACTAACAGGACGTCTCCTTGCAGGACGCTGTACATCGAGGGCGAGAGGAAGCTGGACTTCCTGGGCTGGGCGGCAGCCATCCAGAGGAATGCTGGGAGTTCTGGAGACACACTGAGTCAGCAGCAGCTGACGGAGGCCGACATTCCCGTGATCGTGGAGCGCTGCATTCATTTCACCACTCAATACGGTACTCAACTCTATTCTGCTGTACTCTATTCAGCTCTTTCTGACACAATTCTGTTCAACTTGATTCAGCTGTTCTGCTTTATTCTAATCTTCTCAACTCTACTTTGTTCAACCCCATGCAAATCTGGTTGTGCAACTCTATTTTACACTCTTTAATTCTGCTTTATTGAACTCTTTCTGACCCAATTCTGTTCTTTTCTACTTGATTCAGCTGTTCTGATTTTTTCTAATCTCTTCAAATCTACTTTCAAATTTGTTCGGTTGTTCTGCTCTATTCAAATCTATTCTACACTTTAATTCCGCTTTTCTCTATTTGACTCTTTCTGACCCAATTCAGTTCTTTTCTACTTTGTTCTTCATACTTCATTCTTCTTTGTCCGTCTCCATTTAAATCTGTTTAGTTGTTCTGCTCCATTCAACTCTATTCTACACTTTAATTCCGCTTTTCTCTATTTAACTCTTTCTGACCCAATTCAGTTCTTTTCTACTTTGTTCTTCATACTTCATTCTTCTTTGTCCGTCTCCATTTAAATCTGTTTAGTTGTTCTGCTCCATTCAACTCTATTCTACACTTTAATTCCGCTTTTCTCTATTTAACTCTTTCTGACCCAATTCAGTTCTTTTCTACTTTGTTCTTCATACTTCATTCTTCTTTGTCCGTCTCCATTTAAATCTGTTTAGTTGTTCTGCTCCATTCAACTCTATTCTACACTTTAATTCCGCTTTTCTCTATTTAACTCTTTCTGACCCAATTCAGTTCTTTTCTACTTTGTTCTTCATACTTCATTCTTCTTTGTCCGTCTCCATTTAAATCTGTTTAGTTGTTCTGCTCCATTCAACTCTATTCTACACTTTAATTCCGCTTTTCTCTATTTAACTCTTTCTGACCCAATTCAGTTCTTTTCTACTTTGTTCTTCATACTTCATTCTTCTTTGTTCGTCTCCATTTAAATCTGTTTAGTTGTTCTGCTCCATTCAGCTCTATTCTACACTTTAATTCTGCTTTACTCCATTTACTCTTTCTGACCAAGTTCAGTTCTTTTCTACTTGATTCAGCTTTGTTCTACTCCATTCTAAACTTCTCGACTCACCTTGTTTTTAATTCACTTCTGTTCAGTTGTTCTGCTTTGTTCAACTCTATTCTATTTCATATTCAACCTCACTGAATTCTATCCTACTCTTATTCTCTGTTTTTTTTTTATGAAAGAAACTTCAATCAAGTCTTTCTTTCTGTCCAAAGAATCGGGGGCAAATTAATCCAATTTGATTTAAATGAAATTGTTTCTGAGAAACTCATGTAAATGTTTGACTGCAGACAGAGATTGAAATAACACACACACACACGCACACGCACACGCACACATATCACAAAAACATCACTTAAACAACAGATTCCTCTTGTGTCTCAGTGATGATGTGATCTTTATCTTACGAACTAGTATTAAACAGTGAGCTCACCTAATGAGATTTAATGAGCTCCTAGATGTACACGTAACATATTAACAGATGATGACATGAAACCATGACAGTAAATGTGTCCCTGCAGACATCAGCTGCTGAGCCCTCTCTGATTCAATTTCATGATTCGTTTGGACTGATTTTGCCAAGCGTTTGTGAATCGGGACGGTCAGACAGAACTTTGTTCAGGAGGGAAAGCATTGAAGTATCACATGATAGAAACATTAACAACAAAAAGCTTGACACACTAATGGACTTGAAAGCAGTGATAAACTGAAATACTAACCAGAAAACTCAAGCCGAATCACCATTATTTGTGTAGCTTTACAGAAAGGTTTATAGAAATACTTTTTGTCCATAATGTCTTTAAAGTCCCTATTGAACAGGTTAAATATATTAAAATGAAACTTTAAAAAAAAATTTATATTTATAGTTCTATTAATATTATGTTGTTTAGGGGTCCATTAAGCATCATAAGTGTGTGTTGCTGCGTGTAATTGATGTTGTGTGTGTGTGTCCTGCAGGTTTGACCTCAGAGGGAATCTACCGTAAGAGTGGTGTGAACAGTAAGGTCGCCGCCCTGCTGGAGGAGTTCAGACGCGACGCCAGGTGCGTTTGGCTGAAGGAAGGTGAACATCAGGTGGATGACGTCTCCAACGTCCTCAAGCGCTTCTTCAGAGGCATCGAGGAGGGATTGTTTGGCCTGGAGGCGCACAGCTGGCTCAGCGCTACAGGTTTAGACCACTGGAATATTATGAAATTATATATTATTATTATTGTTACGGCACGACGCTACAGCTAAAATGTTAACTAATAGATATCACCATACTTTCCCAAGTCGATTAATTATAGTATATTAAGACAATAGTTTTTTATTACAAGTTTCTGAAATGTTATGTTTAAATATGCATTATCTAATTAAATATGCACTCATTTGCATACATTTTCAGAACAGAAATCTGAACATTGGTTCAAAATTCTTGTCTGATTTTGTTGGCATATTAGAGTTAAAGGTTTTTATAGAGGGGATTTTAGATTTCTCTTTTTATCACTGCATAATACTGTCAACAGACTGAAAACAAACACAATTTTACCATGTTTTAGGAATAAAATGCTGTATAAATCAGTGTGAATGATATATGAACAAACCCTTCAGTAAAATCCTTCAGAATATAGATATGAATAAAACCCTAAGTTTTGGTGCATGTAAGTGCTGTAGAAGTGCAGAAATAAACTCCAGATATAAACATGTACTGTTATTGAAATCTACAGACGCAAATGGATAAAGTACAATTAAATAAACCCTTAAATGTCTATTTTTTATTTTTTTCACTAGTCTGAAAGAAGACAAGTGAAGTGAAATAATCCAAATGTCATATTGTGTGTGTGTGTATGTGTGTGCGCGTTTTTGTGACAAATGAGGACATAAATTTGTATAATGACAAAGGTATGACAGGTATTACAAGGAGAAGGTGACTTTTTCCCCGAGTCAATCAGGCGACACTACGAGCGCTAGTTAATCATTTATACTGGTGAGACAAGCACTCTTCCTCTTTCTCATAGAGCACTTCCTCATAGCTCTCCTTTCAGAGAAGTGTTGAAAGTCTCTCTCAGACCTTCTGATGTGTGTGCGTTTGCAGCGTCCAGCGGTTTGCGGATCTCAATCAGATGAATCTTCACAATCTGGCCATCGTGTTCGGTCCGACTCTCTTCCAGGCGGACGGGAAGGACTACAGCGCCGGCCGAGTCATCGAGGATCTCATCCAACACTACGTCACTATATTCGATGTATGTTTGCATGTGTTCAGAAAAATGTTTCCTGCGATTTTATTTTCCTAGGACATTTTAAAGTGAAGTTATAGGAAGTGCACATATCTGAAGAGTCTGGACTTTGTGTAGAGTTGATAAAACGGTTCATTATACATTCAGCACCAGATACATGCAGTCACTAGCGCCATCTGTTGGTGAGATGAGAGTAAGAACTGCAGTGGCAGCACTGTGTTTATGTTGCAGGTGAACGAGCAGCAGCTGAAGAAGCAGTTAGATGAGATCACATACATCATAAAGCTCAGAGACAACCTCGCGCCTAAAGCTGGAACGGTAAGAGTGTGCAGTAGAAACTCGCCAATAATCATTATGGATTTATAAAATGTGACCCTGGACCACAAAAAAAGGGTCAATTTTTCAAAATTGAGATTTTTGTATCATCCAAAAGCTGAATAAATAAGCTTTCCATTGATGTATGTATTTGAAAATCTGGAATCTGAGGGTGCAAAAAAAATCAAAATATTGAGAAAATCGCGTTTAAAGTTGTCCAAATGAAGTTCTTAGCAATGCATAGTACTAATCAAAAATTAAGTTTTGATATATTTACAGTAGGAGATTTACAAAATATGTTCATAGAACATGATCTTTACTTAATATCCTAATGATTTTTGGCATAAAAGAAACATGTCCATATAGCATCACCCACAACACCCTAGCAACCATATAGCATCACCCACAACACCCTAGCAACACACTGAAACACTCAGAACTCTATGCATATGTATAGCAGCACTCTGGTGACACTCGCAGGAAGCACTGCTCATTTCAGTTAGAAAATATTTAATAGTTATTCGTTTAGTTTTTATTGTAATTATTTATTAGAGGCTTTGTTATTTGTGGCTCATGTGTGTGTGTGTGTGTGTGTGTTTAGGGCAGTGGTGATTTTATCTGTACAGTTTACTTGGAGGAGAAGAAGGAAACAGCTGAACAGCATGTGAAGGTGCGTTTGACCTTTGAACCTGAAGGTCAATTGTAAAAAAAAAATCTGAACAACATCAAGGACCCACTTACATATGAAATCAATGATAAGTGTTAAAAAATGCTTTTAGTAGAGGAGATAAGTCCTGCTTTACATTTGCAAGGATACAACTGATCATTGTATCATTGCACAAATACGTTAGTCAGTGTTTTTCAATAAACGTTCACGTTCAACCTCCAGATTCCCGCCACGATGACGGCAGCAGAACTGACCTTTGAGATTCTGGACAGACGGAAAATCAGCGTTAAGGAGAAAGACTACTGGTGCTGCTTTGAGGTGAACGAGAAAGAGGAAATGGGTGAGTCACAGAACACCGGTTACCCGTCATACACACGTTACAGTAACAGTGGCTCACAGGTGTGTGTGTGTGTGTGTGTGTCAGAGCGGCCGCTGCACTATCAGGAGAAAGTGCTGCCCATCTTTCACTCTCTGGGCACTGACAGTCACCTGCTGGTCAAGAAGCACTTCTCCATGGAGACCATGCTGGTCTATCTGGGTAAGAGACTGAGCTTTAGTTTGGACACACATGTGTGTGGATAAATAAAAATGTTTTCATGCTACTAAATGTAAGCGGGTTAATCTATAACAGTGCTTCTCAACCATTTGACTCCAAGACCCACCATTGCCTACAACAATATTCAAAGGCTAATATCTGCTGCAATGACAATTTTTTTAGTAGTTTTGATCTATAGACTGATAGTTTCTGTGCATTTAAATTTCTGCAGGGGTTTTAAGAGCTAAATGTTTTCCAGGGTTCCTGCACTTTTAAGCCAGTCAATTTGTAAGACTTTTCTAATTATTCGTGATTTACTGGGTTAAGGATCAGGATTTTTTTAAATATTCATTACCTACAATTTCTGCCTGATAGAATATTTTAGAGCTTGGCATAACTACAATAATCTATATTCGTTATAAAAATGACCTTGGTGTTTGATTAATTTGGGATAGTGTATATGACTTTCTTCTTTCAGATGAATACAATCAGTTATATTTAAAAATGTCCTGGCTCTTCCAAGCTTTATAATGGCAGTGAATGGGTGATGTTCAATAGTCCAATAGAAGTTCTAGTAATCACACTTTTTTTTTAAATTATTACTTTGTAATAATCTATATATTTAGGTTTTTCAAAGTTGTGGTAATCCTGTTTTTGTCAAAGACAAAGTGCAATATTGACAAATAATATCTCGATATTTTCTGGGATTTTATCGATAACGATAATTAGATGATATTTTGCTGATTGTGTTATTGTGCTGATATCTTAAGGACTGCCGTGGACCGCTGACTCCTACATTTTTTGATATTCTTCATATTCTGTGTGCTGGTCAGTTCACACTGATAGAAATGAATCTTTCCCAATAAATTTAAATTGATTTTATTGGCATTTTTACCTTTATAAGCCATTTTTCTAAAGTGTGCATTATCTTTTGAGTCACTTACATTTAACCAGTGAATTAGAATAATTCCCAATAATTCCAAGCAAATGAAATCAGTATCAATAAAATTAATCTTTGCAATGCAGAGGAAACACAGAAGCTGCGTCTGAAGAGGCATTTAGATGTGTTTACACACTACTGTTTAGTGCAGAACATGAATGCATTTAACCTGCAATTACAAATGCATAAATAATGTTTTGATATATTAAACATAAAATGTTGAATACTGTTATTTGAAATTATTTAAATAATAAAAAGAAACCTTAAATGTGAAATGAAAACTGCCAGCAGGTGGCAGCAAGTCACTGTTAATAAGTGAGTCACTGCGATTGAACCGAATCATTTAAACGGTTGATTCATTCAGGAACGAAATGCCGTCATGTTGCTCAGAGACGCAAAACAGTGCTGTGACTGTGTTTGGAATTATTTTTGTTGGCGAAATAGCGCAAAAACAGGCAATGTGGTGTCTTTATTATTGAACTGTTGTAAAAAAATCAGTATTATATTTGTAATCAAAATGGTAAATATTAAAGTTTTTCTCCAAAAATTACCATTTTTTATTGTTTTTTTACAACAGTTCAATAAACAAGAAGTTAACTAATAGACTTATGTTTTAGACACCATATTGCCTGTTTTTGCGCTATGAAAAAAAATAACACTCTTTGTGTGATATTAACTATATGAAATGATATAAATACATGCATTTTCTGCCCCCATGTCTTGAATTTTGTGATCATTCTAAATGTTTTTTAATAGACTGAATCGGTGAAAGAACGCACTCTAAATGCGTCTAGACTTCACGTAATGTATGCGTTCGCTCTGTAGGTGTGTTTTGAACGGTTTTTGCAAAATACTAGATAATGTCAAATCGCACATCGTTAAAACAACAATTACGATATTATCGCAGATGATATATATCGCACACCCCTACTATGATGGTGAATAAAAAAAAATAAATAGAAAAATGTTTTAGCTCATTTAATGCTTGCTTTGTTTTATTTTCAATCGTTAAGTCATCTTGAGGCCCTTGGAAGTTTATTGAAGCCCCTAGTGGACCTTGGACACCTGGTTGAGAATATAATACACTATAATAATTAATAGATTAACTTTATTTAAAAGTGGTAGAATTCTACATGTGCTCATGTAGATCAGGTAATGTGTGCAGTGTGTTCATTATAATCTCTATGTGAGAATATTTAATGATTCTGTGTGTGTGTGTGTGTGTGTGTGTGTGTGTGTGTGTGTGGTACAGCCAGTAAAGTGGAGGTGTCCAAACACGGTATGATGAAGTTCAGAGAGGAGAGGATTTGAGAATATGTAATGATGTTTGTGTGTGTTTGGTACAGCCAGTAAAGTGGAGGTGTCCAAACACGGTATGATGAAGTTCAGAGAGGAGAGGAGTCTTCTGGGTTTGAGCACCGGGAGCTTCAATGACCGATACTTCATCCTAACCAGCACCTCACTCAGACTCTATAAAGAAGTCCGGGTAAGAGTGTGTGTGTGTGTGTGTGTGTGTGTGTGTTCATTTAATCATTTCATTTGGATCCCTGAAGGCCACTTTAAACCTTCACTAAAATTATTTGCACCAAAAACGTGGTCATTCTCCAGCATCTCTGATCCTCAGAATGTGATTGACCTCTGCCTGACCTCTGCACATGTGACGTGAGTAATAGTTCAGCTGGACACTGATGTCAGTGATGTGACGTCACACATGTAAAACATCAGCTGTTAATTGGAATTCTGCAATATTCTGATTAGTGCTGTTTCAATCTGATTCAGTTTCTGGACATTATTCAGAAAATCCATATCAGCAGACTTACAAAAATCAAGTACACAGGAATATTCTGATGCCTGCACGCATATAAACATCATCATCAAAATATGGCTGCAATCCGGATATAGACCTTAAACTGAATTTGCTGTGCATGTAAACATAGTCAGTGTGTGACAGTATTATTTTAGTATCACTGACATATTGTTATTATTAAATGTAATGGAATAAATGCATATATTACAAACTATATGAGGTGAACCCAGTACTAAATCAAGGAGTTAATTATTGTTAGCATTTTGAAAGAAGATATGACCTGGTCACACATGTTGAATTGGGCACGCAAGTCTCAAATTTCTATTTATTGAAAGAGGAAGTGAAACTATTTTGTGATTTATGTAAATTTTGGAAAAAATAATTGTATTAAAAAAAGTAATGTGTAAAATATAGAAAGACCCCAGTTTTAAATGATATGGACAGCATTTTTATTCAGAAAACATGTTGATGGACATTTTTTAAAAAGGTTTCTCCTGGAATAAGAATTTAGATTTTTTTGTCAAACATTAAATTGAAAGTGTATATATGTATATTTTTGTATGTTGATTATTTTTAAGAAAAAATGTTAAATTATTGTAAACATAGTGTTGAAATGATATTGTAATCATAATACTGTTGATTTTGCCACGAACATAGCCATTGCTGCTGATATGGCATCAAACAATAAATACATAAATACTATAATAGTATTAGAAAATAGTTTTTAATTTAAATGTTTGGTTTTCATTTTGATTTTAAAGTTTTAGTAATTTTATATTTATTTATAACTATATAGTTTTATATTATTTTAAGGTAAAGTTAAATGAAAATAAGAAATGTTGCCTTGCCTACTATCTGAAATAAAATGAAGTTTTTGTGTATTTTATTTGTTTGTAATGCTTATTTTATTTATGGTTTGAGTTAATGATTATAATCCTAGTGTGTAAGAGCAAACGAGTGATTGATGTTTTGCTTTGAAACTCTCATACACAGAATCTGCAAAAGCTGCAAAGCCCAGAGCTGCAGTGTGTGAGTACAGATAGTGTGTGTGAGAGCGGTTCCTTCAGCGTTTGGTCGTCTGTGGTCATTAATTCACTTTGTGGAAACAGTAGAAGTGTGTGTGTAGAGATTTAGTGTCCACTGCTCTCTCTTGCTCTGGTTTAATGGGTTCTCAGGTGGTGGTTTTCCTGTAGTTTTGGGCTCTAGATGGAGTGAGCGTGTGTGTTTCAGTTGGTTTATCTCTCTCTTTCTCTCTCTGTTTCTGTAGAGTAATCGTCCCGAGAGAGAGTGGCCCGTCAAGTGTCTGAAAGTCTATCACGGCATGAAAAAGAAGCTCCGTCCACCGACATGGTGAGACTAAATCTTGAACTGAATCTGTTCTAAACCCTAGTGAGCTTTCTAACTAGACAGCATGTTAAGGTGCTCATGACATCATCTAGGGTTTTGTTTCATGCATTAACATGATTTTCTCCAAAGCTGCTTTTGAAACTCATAATAGTGCAAATGTTCAGCGTAAGCGGATGTGCTGTGATTTCTGACCAGCAGGTGTCAGTGTGAGTCAGGACAGAATCAGAGGCGCTCCGATTCAGTGCTGTTTAACCAGTGCTGTGAAGCCTGACATATGAAATAGTCCAAGAAATCTAATGTTTTGAAATGGAACAGTTTAAGAAAATCTAAAAAAAAAAAAAAATTGCATATGTGTTTTTTGTTGAGTATCATATTTGATCCATCAGGCGTTTATGACTCATACAGTCTGATACAGTGGGAATATAGAGAAAAAACAGCGCAGTTTTATTCAGAGACTTATTCAAATTACATCGAGACAAGCTGCTTCATAAGAGATGTCAGTGTAGTGAACGATCAGGTCAGATTCATTTACAGCATCTCAGCCAATCAGACCAAAAACTCCCATCTGGCTCTTTGTGTCATCAGCTGCATTTGAGCTCTACACACTCCAGATTCAGAGTTTCTCCTCATTTAAGAACATCTAGACATGATCATCTGTGGAAATCAAGTGGTGTTTAACCCTTTAATCTCTCTGTCTGTCTGTAGTTGGGGTCTCACAGTCGTCTATGAAAGTGAGAAACAGGAAAAGCAGGAGAGACAGCAGTGGTGAGAACACACGCGCACACACACACACACACACACACACACACACACACACACGCTCGCTCGCT